CCCTACAAGGATCTTGTCTTGAGCACAACCACCCTGACCCCAGGGCTGGCAGGCCCAGATGTGCCCCTCTGTCCCAGCGTCACTGCGATTCTCCTGCAGACACGGCGCCAGGCATGGACTTCCGACTCCTCCTCAGGTTGTACCTCGGCTGCTAAGGGCAGAGAAGAGAGAGCAGGCGATTCAGGGCAGGGAGGAGCAATCGCACCCAGAGCAGATCCTTTAGGAGTGAGGATGTGGAGAGAAGGAAGGAGCAATCGCAACCAGAGCGGGTACTTCAGTACGAGAAGGGGGGGGAAAAGAGGAGCAATGACTTGTCAGGTCTGACTGAAACAAAATGGCTTAGCATCACGGAGTGCAAGAGAGACCAAATACCGTGGAACAGCCTCCGATCATACTGTAGCAACTTGCTGGTCCAGACTGCAGTCTGAACACAAGGTCTAAAGGATAAGTACTGCACAGGCTCAAAAAAAAAAAACAACAAAAAAACCCTTCATCCTGGAACACGGATCCTGGCTTTGTGGGATCTGGCATTTTTAACAAGGATGAATGAACGGGATCAAGTACGCGAAGGCCGCTGACGACGCACCTGCTCCGGGTCCACCAGCACCGCGTACACCAGGTCCGGGGGCGCGCGGTCACCCCGCCGGAGCCGAGCCCGGCCGCGCTTCTGCACCAGACTGGAGGCGCCCCCCTCTCCCGGGGCTCGGGGGGTCTGCCGAGCTGCAGATGAACACAGAAATGCTGAGAAACCAGGAGCCCGCTGTCCGGATCGGTGGCTGAACACTGCTGCTGCAGCTCTGAGCCCTGCGGTGAACGTTCACGTCTAAACCCTGCTCGTGGGGTCGCTCTCTACCACCTCACCTGCGATACAAGGACCCCCCCAGCACATCCGAGAGCCACCCCCAACTACACCTCTTAGAGCCCTACGAGCCCCCAGGGGCCCCAGGGGACACCCTTCGGCCCCTGTGAGCGAGCCCTTACAGGAAAGGTATCGCTGCTCTGGGATCAGTCCAGAGGGGAGCAGCGAGCTGCATCCCGGGGCTTCAGGGCAGGACCTGCACCTGCTGAAGGAACTGGATCTCTTAAGTCTTGAGCAGAGAGGACTAAGAGGGGAGCCGATACTCCTGAACCCCCATCGGCGCCGACAACCCAGCACGCCTCCTCAGGTCGCGCGGTGAAAGGGACCGGAAACTAAACTAAACGGATAACAAAGGGCCCCTTTTCCTCCGGGCCGCAGGAGGGTGGCCTGGGACGAGGTCCCGGGATCGATGAGCTGCCGATCAGCCCACGGGGCGGTGAGGCCGATGTGCCTGCTCGTCTGCCACCTCTTCTTTCTCCACCTGTGACCAGGTGTGGGGAGGGCAGCTGGTGCGAGGGTGCGGGTCTCGTGTTGGACGAGCTTCACACTCAGATTCACACATCCTGCACTAGAGCTGCTGTGACACGTCTCGGGTCACGACGGTTCTGAACCTCGATGCCCTGGATGACCCATGACCTTTTCTTGTCATGAACTCCTCATGGTCTTCTTACTTGCACGCTGCACAGCAGGGTATGTTACCGACTGAGAGGACCACTCACACTCGGAGACAGTGTTCTCAGACAGCAGGAGCTCCTTCACCGAAACCGGGGCGTCAGGGGGCATCTGGGGAGCCGGGATAAACGACCCCTCCAGCACCTCCGGATCCTGGGACACGTCCTTCCGACTCCACTCCTGGTCTCCCTCCCCGCCTGCCAGCTTCTCCTCCTTGATCCTCCCCTGCAGCACCTCCCAGTCCGCCGCCTGGGAGAGATGCTCTGAGGGGACAGAACCAGGAGGGAGGAAGTTCTCGGGAGAGAAATAAACTCAACTTCAAAACAAGCAGCGTCGCTCTCTGAAAGAACAAATCTCCCCGTGCACAGGAGTGGGGCAAACAGGAATGCCTCCCGGGATAGCAACTTTAAAGTGCAGGCTCCCCTACTGGGTCACCTGCTGGTTTGTGTTCCAATCCCAGGGGAGACACTGCTGCTGTTGTACCCCCTGAACGAGATCCTGTACCCCCCACCCACCCACCCACCCACCTCCAGTCCAGCATCCCGCTGTGTCAGGAGGCATGTGGGTGAAAGAGTCAGGGTGCGCTATACGCTGAACAGATGCTGTAGGACCTGACCTGAGTGCATTCTGAATTTACAGACACCTGCTGGAAGTGACATTTCAGGAACAGCTGAAAGGCGGGGATAGCGTTGTCAGAAATGGCCACTGTGCCATGGGTGGAAATATATTGTGCAGGTTCTAATGCCATGGTCACATAGGACCATGAATGGGTGTCCTAACAGAGGGTGACCAGAGCTGTACGCAGACTACAAAGTGTTTAGCAAAACTGCCCGGATTCAGAGGATGGAGGACACCATTTTGTGTGCATTTTCTGTAGTGTTCTGTAGGCCTTGTTCATCCCAGACCCGCCCTGAACCGCGCAGTGACCTCCCGCGCCCGGTACGACGTCGCGTGCAGCCGGGGTGCCCACCCGTCCTCCGCAGGCTCAGCTCCACGCTCCTGCGCAGATCCCCCAGCTGCCTCAGGATCTCCAGGTTCTCGCGCCGCGCGTCCCGGAACCGCAGGGCCGCCGCCGCCAGGACCAGCAGGCCGGCCAGCAGCATGGCCCGGCGCAGCAGGCCCAACAGCCAGGCCAGCCGCTCCTGCTCGGGACCAGGGGACAGACGCGCGGGCCGGTCGGAAAAGGGCAGCTCCCGCCGCCGGGGGGCTGGAGGCATCCGGGCCGCACGGCGGAGCGCTCCGAGACCGGGCAAAGATCGGGAGCCAGATCAACCAAGAGCACAAGTCGGAGACGACGCTAAACGGCTAGAATCGTGTCAAAGAGGAACTGCAACTCGGATTTTAACAGCTCAGCATGAGAAAGAAGCAGCCTGTCACCCTGTGATGACAGTAAATTGTACACAGTAACGTGCAAAACCTCCAACTTGCATCACAAAATAGACTGAACTGCCAGGTGTGCGCAGCACCAAGTTCTGCCATTAAGAACGATCTTTGCATTGCAAACAAGAAGACTTGCGAATAAACTTCAGGACAGTTTTTCCCCCCACAGATACTGGATTGGATTCTGCTGTAAAATATCAGCTGCACAACCTGTATTTATTCACTTGAATATCACACTGGTCAGTGCAGGGACTGGCGAGCAGGAAGGGCTGCATCGCGTCTGAAGTCCCGCAAACGGACGCTCTCAACTGCGGCAAGACAAGGGATCTGCAACAACATGGTGCACTTTCACCACGCTCATGATTTTGGGCTGAATTCGAAATTCCGTAAATTTTTTCTGGACGGTCAAGGAATTCCTGTTTGTCACCAAGATTTAATAATCGGTCTGAGAATGTGGGGCTGCAGTTCCCCTTGAAACCAAAACCATGCCGCTCCAGGGGCATTAACAGAGGAATACCTGCATTCTGCCACCCCGTAGGGCAGTCTGCGTCAGGCCCTGCGTCCCGCTTGGCGTCCCGCCGGGTACTCACCGACTGCTGGAAGCTGGGCTCTGTGGACTCCAGCAGGGCCCGGCAGATCACCCGCTCCAGGTACACATTCACAGCCACCAGGCCGAAGAGGAGCAGCCTGGAACACAGCCACGGAACCGGCAGCTCGAGGGAGGAAGAGGAAGAGGAAGAGGGAGAGGCGTGTTCCCCTCTCGGAGCGGAGCGGGCCCCACCTGGCCCCGGAGGTGCGCCGGGCGGAGGTGAGCAGGAAGGCGGCGCCGAGCGCGCCCAGGTTGTACAGCAGCGACCAGAGTGTGTGCGACTCGGACAGCAGGTAGGTCTGGAGGAAGGCCACGCGGTTGAAGATCTCGGAGAAGGCCAGGCGCTGCTCCTGCGCGGAGCCCCGCATCTCCTCGAACACCTCCTGCACCCCTGGGAGGACGGGCACCCGGGCCGGAAGGTGAGGAAGAGGAAGGGCGCGAGGGCACGCGCACAGACTCCTCTCCTACGACGGAGGATCACCACACACACCCCCCACACACCCCCCCCCCCCCCCCCCCCCCCACCCCCCCCCCACACACACACCCACACCCACCCTGGGCGGAGTCCCGCAGCGTCTGCTTCAGGAGCTCGCCGTTCCTCAGGATGGCCTCCTGCGACCTCATGGCCGCGCCCTGGGCCTCTGCCAGGCCCTCCGCCAGGCGCTGCGTGGCGGCCAGCTGGTCCGCGATGCCGGCCGAGCTCTCCGTCAGCCTGCGGGGAGACGGCTCCTTCAGCAGGAGGCTCGCGAGGCAGGCGACGGCCCGACTGGCGAACTCGAGCCAGCTCCGGCACTTCCCGGAGAACCCCGCCGGAAGAGGATCCTGGGATCCATTAGCTACTCGCAACCGGACCAGCTAGAAGCACCAGGTGGCCTCCCAGCCTTCTCGTTTGTCTCTTTTAAACGAGAGAATTCAGATCACAGCAGGAGTCTACTGTCAGGCACCGGGACAGCACACAGTCCAAACCCAGCAAGGAGGTACAGCACCAGACTGACCGCTTGCTTTGGCCTGTGGACAGAGGGGAGTCAAACAGATCAACTGCTGAGCAAACAGAGGCAGTAGAATAAGAGGAGCAGGGAGCCGGATTGGGGGGAGTGAGGTGGTGGTGGTCAGCAGTGCTGGGGCTCCGGTTCAATTCCGGACCTGAGGTGCTGTTTACATGGAGTTTGCATGTTCACCCCCATTTTCCCATGGCTTTCCAAAGACATGCTGGTGGGTTTTTATCTCAGGGAGAACTGGCCCTCATGTGAGTGTCTGTCTGTCTGTCTGTCTGTCTGTCTGTCTGTCTGTCTGTCTGTCTGTCTGTCTGTCTGTCTGTGCCCTGTGATGGACTGGCGTCCTGTCCAGCGTGTACCCTGCCTCGCGCATGTTGCCTTCTGGGATAGCCTCCACCCTGCGACCCTGAATTGGAAGAAGCAGTCAGGAAACGGGTGGGGTGAGAGCTGGATGGGTCCCATCCTCAACACACAATGCAAAGAGCCCAAGAGCCTCGCACACTTTCCGAGGAAGAGGGTGTTCCGACTCCTCGTCCTCCGCCGCTGGGCGCCCTGTCCTTACCGGTGGATGGTGTTCTCGGCCTGGTGCTGCCAGCGCTCGCTCTGCAGGAAGTAGCAGATGCTGTGGGCGTGGGTGAAGAACTCGGTGTAGGTGCCGAACGCCACGGCGTCCATGTGCCTGGTGCAGTCCTCCACCGAGCTGCTCCCGGTGCACTCTGGGAAGGAGCGGCCCGACCTGGAGAGGGACACCGGCGAAGAGGTTAAATCGCAGGCGTGGCCAAGGTGGGGGGGGGCATCAGATAGATCAAGAGGCACAAGAGCCCCGAAGACCTGGGCCTTGCCCATACTGCACCCAGATCCACAGCCGTCCCGTGCCCAAGCCCCGCCAGTGCTCTGTGAAGGAATGCTGGGATACACAGGTGCGCCAACGTGCAGGCAGGTGGAAGGACGGCTCTTCCTGCCTACGCCCTAGTCACCCCGCGAGGGCCGAGCTGCGGCGGCCCCCCGTAAGGGTGGGGGGGAGAGAGAGAGAGAGAGACACGCGCGGCCTCACCTGCGCAGGTGGCAGTGCGCGAAGGCCAGCGCCACGCGGCTCTGCGTGTCCTCGGTGAGCTCCCGGCAGCCCCCCCGGAGCCGCTCCAGCGCCCGCGTCCAGCACGCGCCGTAGCGCGGCTGCGCGGCGAAGCCCTGCACCCGCTGCAGCTGGGCGCGGCCCTCCTCCACCAGCGCCCCGTCCGGCCCCAGCGGCCGCGAGGGGCGGGGCCAGCTCAGGGCGGCGACGCACAGCAGGGCGAGGGGCCACATGGCCAGAGGGGCTGGGAGACAGGGAGACAGGGGGGTCAAGCGCCGTCTGGCCCGCGCCGCTCGTGTTGTGACCCGTTCACACGCCCGTCCGGGAGCCACGAGTGGCACCGCACGCCAGCCCTGACCACCGCGCGGACGCCGCGCAATGACCGGACACCGGCCGAGCTAAAGCCTGGTGACTGTTAGCGCGTCGAGCCGGCCGAGTCGGAGGGGTGAAAAGCCCCGTCACACGGCGGCCCCTCTTCAACGCGCAGAGAGGAATGCCCATCGCCCAGCAAGGGCGTTGGCATCTGGGGGCGAGAGGAACTGCAGAAATAGATATGACATGACAGTAAGACACAAAACACAAGCACGCTGGCTAACGACGGGGGTGGGATCAGTCAGGCTGAGCAGACGGAAGTTTTTTTATTAAAAACAAAAAGCTTTCCTCTGAACCAGTTTGCCTATATTTTCGACCTCAGGTGTGTTTTTAATCAGCTTGAGCTTCGGACCGCCCCTCCCTGCTCCTGCAGCTGTCACTGGGACGCAGGTCAAATACCCCCCAGTTATTGAAATTCAGGAGAAACCGCAAGGAAAACAAGGCGTTTGACGCCAATTATGTATAATAGAAGGCTGCCAGTTCAAATCCCGCGGCCGGCAGAGCAATCCTACTCCGTTGGGCCCCTGAGCAAGGCCCTTCACCCCAACTGCTCCAGGGGTGCTGTATAAATGGCTGACCCTGCGTGCTGACCCCCAGCTTCTTTCCCCGTCTGTGTGTCTCATGGAGAGCAAGCAAGAAATTGATCCGATTTTATAATCGCTGAACAGCCTTTTGTACTGCACATTCATGGCTTCACGCTTTTGTTTGGCAGGTGACGCACAAGGCGTGCGTGCCATCACGGGGGACGTGAATCGGTTAACTTCTAGCAAAAAACAACAACAACAAAACACTTCCAAGTACGCCTCCAGCCTGAAAACGCGTCGTGTCTTCTGTTCGCTAGCGGCAGGGATCGGACAGACTCCAAGCGAAACGCAAGTGGCCGATGACAGCGACTTGATTTTGAGGTCGCATATCCCGCTCTTCGCTTTCTGCGCTTCGGAAACGTCATGTGCTCGATGCCCTGCCTTGGCAAACTCCTGGTACCCGGCTCCCCAGCTCAAATACAACACGTCGTGTATCGCGGTGCTTTGCGGGAGAATCTCGAGAATGACCGGGTGGGCGAGGGGAGAGGTGGAAGAACATACAGGAAACGTCCGGATGTAAAAAAGAAAACCAAACGCTGCGATACTTCCCTCACCCTGACGTCTGAAAAACCTACGCGTCGCAGAAACTGCATGGTGTAAAAAGACTCTAAGGAGACACTGTGTAATGAGAGAATTATGACGAACACATGCCTGTAATAACGAAATGGACTTTAACGGTTATAAAGTTGATAAAAACAAATGTTCTTTCGCGGTTTTCACGCGCGTCCCAACGCTAATATTTCATTTTACCGATGCGTTTTACGTACCACGTAACACCACGCGTTCACTCTTCAGCGATTTAGTTTGTTTTCGAGTAGATCTAACTAAATCGCTATCACTTTTAAAGTAATGATTTCAAAGACACATGCTCTTTAAGCGTCTACACGTCAATGAGAGAAACCGACTTACCCTTTAGATTTCGCTTAGAGTTGTCGAAAAACAGAGCGAGCGGATAGCGACACGTTTTTTCTCTAAAACTTGCGGCGCACAAGGACTCTCCCCATTGGCCAGCTCTTGAAATCTTCTACTAATTGAATTACCCAAATGCCGCCTCCCGATTGGGTGTAATTATACAATTATGAGTGTAGGGAACATGGGATTTGTATTTTTACGGAGATTTAATTTAAAGGTAACTGGCCTTGGATGTAATGTAGCTGCTTTCTGCAGCTGAGCGGTGCAGCATTAATTAGCGCTTTGCTGTTTCGTTTTTTTGCGTTTTTAGGCAAATGCAATAGTGAGAGTTATGTATAGGCTGGTATTTATGACTGATAAACAAACATATCAAGTTCCTCATTAAGCTGAGCTGTACAGTGTTGTCCAACATCTACATGCTTAAAAATGCTTTTTGAAATCTACATGCTTAAAACACGTGTACACCTGGAGTACAGACTCTCACTGGGGTCACTGTATACACACACCTGGAGTACAGACTCTCACTGGGGTCACTGTATACACACACACACCTGGAGTACAGACTCTCAGTGGAGTCACTGTACACACACACACCTGGAGTACAGACTCTTACAGGAGTCAC